ACAGCAGTTTTAAATTTACCGCTTGTTGTGTGACGTCACACTTCGACAATTTTGATTGGTCGCATGCGCGTGAGCATACCCTTATCCTTATACCATGGGTTCGAGGTCAGTACGTTGAAAACTGTCGACGCGACAAGAGGTTTCGTGAAAAATGTCAATCCAATCTCCCGCCAAGTGCGAAATACGCGGCGTCATCCGTTATCTCGTTTGGAAGGGAAAAACTCCGGTTGAGGTTTATAATGAGGTAAAAACTGCATATGGTGATAAAGCTATGAATCGTACGAGTGTGTTCAAGTGGTGTCGCGAGTTTAAAAACGGTCGTACGTCTGTGCATGATGATCAGAGAAGCGGAAGACCTTCAATTCTGACTGACGACATTGTGGAAAAAATCGAAAATGCGCTCCGTGACGATCGCAGATTGACTGTGGATGAACTTTCTGCGATGTTTCCGCAAATCTCCAGATCTCTGCTACATGAAACCATCACAAAAACCCTCGGATATCGGAAACTGTCCACGAGGTGGGTCCCAAAACAGCTGACAGACCAACACAAATTGAATGAATCGAGTGGAGGCCGGGCAAGAGTTTTTGAGACGTTACAAACTCCATGGAGATGAATTTCTCCGTTCCATCGTTACTAGAGATGAAACTTGGGTTGCACACTATACACCTGAAAGGCAGTCTCAATAGTGGCGTCACACCTCTTCACCCTCCGCCAAAAAGTTCAAAACCACAATTTCAGCCAAGAAAATTATGGCATCCGTGTTTTGGGACTGTCAAGGTATAATTTTAATTGAATATATGCCTCAAGGGGAGACCATCAACTCTGCAAGATACTGTGAGACCCTAAAAAAATTGCGAAGGGCGATTCAGAACAAGAGGAGAGGCATGCTGACAAAGGGAGTCCACCTGCTGCACGACAATGCCAGACCACACACGGCCAACGCCACGAAGGAACTGCTCGCCTCGTTTAAATGGGATGTCCTGAACCATCCCGCGCATTCCCCTGACCTAGCACCTTCAGATTACTATCTCTTTACCTCCCTGAAGCTGCACATGGGTGGAAAAAAGTTTTCAACCGACGAGGAGGTGAAGGGGGAGGCGGAGAAGTGGACGAAGGGGTTGGCGAGAAACTATTTCGAGGAAGGCATCAAAAAATTAATACCCCGGTTCACCACCTGCATTGAGAGGAATGGTGACTATGTCGAAAAATAGCTTACATATGTACTAATGTAACCAGATCATTTTTTTGTTCAAATAAAAATTTTTGTAACCTACAAAAATTCAGTACACTTACTTTCTGGACATGCCTCGTATTTTTAAAAATATCAGACTTATTCGTTTTTATCAGAAGACAGTGTCCGCTGTTTGACGTTGATCATGGCATGAATGGAGTGTTGGAGGGTAGTGTTAAATTATCGTTGTACCCTAACGTGCAAAATCCAAATGTTGAGACAGTTAGAGAAGTGCAGATCGATCCTCAGCCCTTTCTTCCACTGATTCCTTCTCCTTCATTTACCTCACAAAGGAATTGCTGGTTCGTGAATCTGTCAACCGTTTCCATACTACCTAATATACAGAACATTTTGCAATTGGGAGATAACTTTGTCTTACCTTTTAACAATAGATTAAATTTAACGGTCGATCTTATTAAGTGTATTGAAAGTAATATTTATAAATTGCCTATTGATGAGCGGATTTCGATCT